TGAATTCGACAATTGTGGCAGTTTACATGTTGTACAGTTCATAGTTATGAAATATATAGGGATGGCTTTCTTATCTTCCCTCCAATTTCCTGAGGCCCTTGTAGTGCCCTCTGGTGGCCTCCACTTTGAAAACAAATGGCTTTGACTGAGGCAGAACAGAATTTAGAAGAAAACTATATATTTACTTCTATCTATCTATAGTCATAAAAATAACTGACTTTTGCCTCAAATTAGCTAATTACTGTGGCTGCTGTTGATATTTATTTACATAAGGTGAAAAACAAGGGTCTAATAAAAGGTTATGGCAGGTTTCTCATCATGACAGCATGTTGATCTCTTCCCGCTAACAAAACTGTGAGATGCTGTAGCGAGAGCATCCCTAAATAAAGTATCACACTCAAAAAATTGCTGACATCTAACACCACGGCCATTTATATCTTCCTTTTCTATGACAGAGACAAGAGAAATTAAAATGTCAGCTTTGCAGTGTCTCCCCCAGCAATGTGAAATGTGTTTGTCTCCAGCTGTCACGGTGAAATCGGTTTCAATCTTCACCACAGTGTTGCTGCATGGCCTCTGCCTCACGTCAGCCATCTGCATTATTCATACATCCAAAGGCCACACGTGTGTATATCCTGTATATCATTATGTACTCACTCCAAGTAGACATATGCTGTCAAGCAGGCTGAAGAATGGATTCAAATTTGTAGGTTTCTGCTGCCTCTGCATGATCCTTGTCACCTTTGAATGCCCCCCCCTCGTAAACATAGTAAGGCCCGGGTTGTGTAAGGTAAATGTGTGACTTCCTACGCTCTGCTCGCTGCCTGAATCCCGCCATGATCACACCTAATTATCCAAATACGACATTAGCATTAGCGCGATCTACTCCCCTGCTTACACACCGTGGGCCACCCATAAAGCTTGTGTGCTGTGTTCCTCTCTGCCAGGGGAGGCACTGAGGAGGAAGACATTGTAGTTGCAGTTGATTTTTTTTTTTTTTTTTTTTTGAGAAAACATTGCCCGGCTGGAGAAGTGAAATGGAAATGTCACCAGGGGAAGCATGTGCGAGTACAGCAGCTGAGATTGTAGTGATTTATCTTAACATTTGTTTCTGCATGGCTTGCTGTTTCTGCTCTCCTGAGAATATGCAGAGGAGAGCGATGTGGCTGGCAGATGGAGCCGGGGATTGGCCGAAGTCCCTTTGGCCCAGCTTTGCCCCTCAATCATCACCCTGCTCCTCATTGTCTACAAGTACGGTGTTGCCTCTATCATACCTACCTCAGAGCTTGTCAGATAGGTCAAATGTCCCATGGTTTTACCACTGGATTCAAAATCCATGCTGCTGCTACTGATGATGGACTAATGCTGTGGTGATTCATTTATTCGACACAAACTGTGGCTTCTCCTTTTCCCTTTTTATTTACTCTGGCACATCCAGATCTTGACTGAATGTGGAACACATGTGGAGCCAGTATTGGTAGAAATGCATTAGCGTCTATATCAGGGGTGTCAAACATATACAGCCTACTTAGATGTCAGGTGGGCTGGACCAGTACAATCATAACATAATCGTAACACAATAAGCCCATGTTTCGCTCCTATTCTTATTTTTATTTTCTTATTCTTTAAGCCCATGTTTCGCTCCTATTCTTATGCCAAGAAGTCAAAGGTATTAGAAAAACTACATATTTAATGTAATATAATTTTGAAATTTAATTTTGTTTAGCTTTATCACTGCGGCAGTACTTAGTGTTCTTTCTGGTATATTTTGTACCTTAAATGAGGTAATATTAACATTACATACTGGAAAAAAACTGGTTAAATGGGCAACAGGAAAAAAAGAACTATTGGAAAATAATGCCTTGGTGTCGACTCCACAGGCTACATGTTAAATTGCAGCCAGCGTGGAGTCTTATTAGTGGGAAGAGCATTCCGTTTTCATGACATCACCACCGACGTTAAATTTGAACAGAAGAGTAATTTGGTTCATCGGCAGGACAGAATGAATGCATCTTCGCTGATTGTCCTCTTCCCCCGCTCTCTAATCATGTCATGTTTTATTTACTCTTGTCAACCACTCAGAATCTCCTTCCATTTCTCCCGGTCTGTCATCTGTTGCTCGTGTCTCATTCGAGTCATATTTTAACACCACTCCCTGAGCTGTCGTTTGAACTCTTTTCTTCTGCTCCAAGTCTCTGTCACAACACTTTGTTAAAATGGTTCAGGAATGAGACTGTTTTTTTTTCTCCCTCTCATGTTCAGACATGACTGGAGCACACCCAGAATCACTACCTGCACATTTAAAAATGTGAAACTGTTTGTCATACTTTGAGGCTTGCTTGTAGAAATGCCAACCCTTGACATACCTTTAAAGATTCTCTGTTTTGTCATACTGTGCTATAGCACTACACTTCCCTCTGGAATACACTGAACACAACACCCTAGTGTATTGTTTCAGGAGGTTCCACAAATCTGGCAGGTACCTGGTGCCATTGCCATTTGGAGAACAATTTACAATTTGTTACATTTCTGTTAAAGACCAACAAGTGTTTTACATGGAGGTTTGGGGGGGTGAACATTGAAGTTGTGCAGTAAATAGAATTTGTCATTAAAATGTGTTGCGTTAGTAAATCAAACCCCCAATCATGTCAGACCTGAGTGTTCCAAATACTGTGATTATGCTAATGCAAAATGGCAGGCTTGAATGGCGGCCATATTTCACATCATTCATCACCTGCATAAATCCATCATGCCCCTGGATTCAATTATGGCATTTCATAGCACATATGGACGGCTATAAATCTTAATGGAAGATTTTAGCCATTGCAAGTCAAGGTTTTCCCACATTATCAGTGCGGTCCCAGTGGTGTTAATAGATGCTGCCTTTTGAACAGAATCAGAACGGTGGTGAAGCATTGAAGTCTATTTTATCAGTGGTTGGCAGGTGCCGCCAGTGAAAGCGGTGTGCAGCCCCCCCTCCCGTTCCCGTTCATGCTGTTAAACCACTCTCTATGGCCCAGCTATTTCAGATGTGTTTCATTATTAGTGTTTTGTTAATGTGATTTGTTCGTACCAGTACCTTTGTGATACCATGAGATTTAGGCAAATCTTCTTCTGTTTTGTATTCACTTTTGATACTTGCGATATTGTGATATGGCACACAAAAAAGTGTGCTGCCAAACACGTATCTGTGAGTTTCAGAAGAAATCATTTGGGTTTTTTCTGCACAGAAGACGACTCTTCCTGTTTTGAGTTTTATGAGTCCTTCTTTCTTGAGGACCTTCTGTTAGTCCACCTCTGGAAAACATCTCAAGGTCTATTAAAATCACATTTTAAGACTCTCTGTGAGCTCCTGCTTTGACAGTCCTAGAAGAATACCATAATTTTTACAACTGCTTTCATGTGTTTAGGTTTGTGTCAACTATAACTATATACGGGGGTCAAGAGTTGGCCTCACTCGATCCTTTATGGAAACGGTCACATCTTTTAAAACATTCAGAGCTCACAAGAGTCATGTTAGTAATGAAAGTTAGTAATGAGAGTCTGGTACGATTTTAGAAATAACAAAGGCATTTAGACTGTGTGCCATCACAATTAAAGCAGAGAATAAATCTTTGATAGCAGCCGATAAATCTCAAAATACTTGGGTATTTCTTCACAATTTGGCCAATGATCTCAAAAACTCAAAGAGTTCTTCAACTTCAATTACAGATTACATCTGAAATTATGTCGGGAACGTTAACGCATGCATCAGAATGCACCGATACCAGTAAGAATCCGTGAGTGATTTTTAATCTGAGCATCTCAACAATTCACTAGTGGTGATTAAATTGAATGGTTTTCTCAAAGAACTCAAAGCGATAACAACAGTGTTTAGATCTGTAGTTATGCGATGATGATGTGTGATAATAGGATGGTAATAAATCAGTAGAACAGAAGTAGTACCACTGGCAGAGAATACCGCGAGCATCATCTCAGACTTGTCTGGATTTGTTGATATCTCTGCAGAAGAGACTTGTCACGTTCGGCCCCGTGTTTCTTTTTTGCTTCATTTTAAGCCAATTACTTGTGTTTCAGAAGCTGTAATCTTTTCTGGAGTTGTTTTGTTTTGTTCATTTTCCCTGCTGAAGGATTCATTGTTGCTGTTAAAGTTAATTGAACCTCTGCTCCACAGGTTTAGACAAACTTGACGTAAGCATACCTCGGCTTTGATCACATTCCAGATGCAACATTTTGTCACGTCCCGGAGCTCAAAGCAGCTTTAGCAAAGCCGAGTTTGTCGGTGGCTTTTACTGTAATGTACTTAACAATGGTACTTTGTCGCTGTTGTTTACCGTCATGTGTAAAAAGGTAGGATGGATGTGAAGGTTCAGTTCAGCAGCCTTCAGTTACGAGGCTGAGAAAGCTGTAAAATCACAACATTGAGGAAAAATAATATGCTGTTGTTGTTTGTTTCTACCAGCAGGTCATTAGTCACTGGAACTCTTCTTCCTCTTTTAAGTGTGTGTTTGTGTGTGTGACAAAACAGATGTCGATCAGCTGACCAGATTTGTTTGTGTGTAAGCTATGCTTTGCTTCTGCGTTGTTTCTTGCTATGCACTGCTTTTTCAACACTGTAACATAGATGCTGGACAGTACTGTTTCAAATCATCTGTTTGTTAACTGACAAAAAATCTGATTTTAATGGTGTTTAGTTTGAAAGGTTATAAATTTATTTCTGCATGTTTCTCCTGAAGAAAGAGCTTCTGAATGCATCCTCGCAAATCTCTAAAACAAAGCTTTTGACATTTCATTATCTGAAACACACTGTGAATGGCATAGTTTGGGGAGGGTTTGGATAGGATATACTGTAGGAGTCCTTGTTTCCTCCCTTTTCCCTTTGCCTTTCCTTCCCTGTCTTCCTTTTTCCATCATTCCTTAAAATAAATGCACCTGCACAAATGCACCTCCTCCCACCAGAGCACTGACACACTCCCTTCCATCTGTCTTTTCCTACCCAGAATACCCTATCAACCCGACAAATGGGGGCCAGGAGATCTCGCAGGAGCAGCACAATACAGGGGCCGCCATAGGGGGCGCTGTGGGGGGATTGGCCCTGCTGGGTCTGGCAGCCATACTACTCTTCATATTCCTGCGCCGCCGCCAACGCACCTTCAAGGGAGACTACAGTACCAAGAAACACGTGTTCGGGAATGGGTACAGCAAGGCCGGCGGCCTGCCTGCCCACCCCCCCATCCCAAAGAACCTGCAGTACCCGGATGACTCAGACGACGAGAAGAAACCCGCCCAGATTGGCAGCACTGGAGGGTTCGAGGCCAGCGAGCGTGATTTCGAAGCCGAGGCAGAGGACCTGAAAAGGCCCTATTTCACGGTGGACGAGGGCGAGAGCAGAGATTATGACGAGCGGACTCTGGCCTTCCAGTACGACCCTGAACCTGAGCTAGCCGATGATATGATCTCTCAAACCGATGGCTCGGTCATTTCTAAGAAAGAGTGGTACGTGTAGTGGCATGTTACATCCAAATCAAACAGCCCCCGTGTCACCCACCTGCCATTCCACCGCACCCCTCACGTCCACCACTACCTAACCCTGCCATACGTAAACTGCACCCATCAAAGACACCTCCTTCTCCCAAACCCCACCATGTCAGACCCCATCAAACTAATCTCTATTAGCAAATCAAATGTCTGTTTAAAGTGCTAGCAACATCCAGCCATCAACACAACAACATTAGGATCAAGGCTACCAGGTGAATGGGCAGAGTGTCATACGTTACGTGAACTGACCTACGAGGCCGGAAAGGTCATTGGTTGATTAATACTGGTGTATTATTCCTTTTGTGTATTTCTTCATGTTATAGATGTATTAAATGTATAAAAGGAGACTGCAGGTTGAGGATTTGCTGAGCACATTTGTGAAAGTCCTACACTGGATGTAAGATTGGATTTTGTTTTTTATGAAATGTTTTTTGTTTGTTTGTTTTTACTATTACCATTGCCTTTGGTTGTTTTTATGGTGTTTTGTATGGTTTGTAAGTAAACAGAGAAATGAGAGTTAAATATCTAACCTAACCACAGCTGGAGTTCTACATGTTTTTTGGTGAACAATTCAGACAAAAAAAAGAAGAAAAAAAAACAAACAAAAAAAACACATACAGCACCAGTATGATTTTTTTAAGTTTTTTCACTGGGGTAAGTGTCCATGAACTTTTATATATTCACTGCATTAAATATTGACATGTCATTGCTGTTTTCCAAAGACATGCTTTGTATTTTGGATCACTCGGTGTTTATACGTTTGTTTCTTTACTGAGATGGAGTCAGTCTACTGAGCCGCATCGACAAGGCACTAACAAAAAAAATAAATACTGATTCTGTCTTTCAATCATGTTCAAAACAAATTTACATCCATGAGGCGGATTAGCCAGAGAGAGATCAAACAATTTTTACATGCAGCTGGTGAAACACAGTTGGGTCTGAGGTTGAGTTAGTCTAACAGTTCACATGTAATCATGCTCTGAATCACGTCACATGACTTGAAGGGACAGACCTGTGTACGCCATCTTGGAATCTTACCACTTTAAATCCAATGTTGCTTTTTTTCCCTGTGTTTGTTGAGTTGTCATTATTATGGTTCAGTTCCAATAACGACCTGTACCAGGGGTTTTCAAAGTGTGTGTGTGTGTGTGTGGGGGGGGGTGCTCAGTAACAAATGTCATCTTTGTGTGACTCTGTGTGAGACCCCCCCACCCCTTCCACCACTGCAGCCTTTTCTACGTGGAGTCATCTGTGGAGGTCAAGGACCGGAGGGAAATATATTAACTGACACTTTTCTTTTCGTATCTGCACGGAGAATATTTTAAGATTCAAAAGGGAGTTCAAGATGACGGCGACCATGCCGAAGTTGAATGAGTCGCCTGCTGCTTTCATTGTGTCCACATTATGTGTTCCTTTTGTTTTTTGGGGGAAAATTCCATGAAAGGATGGTTGTCCTTATATCAATCATGGGCATTTGAGCTCTGCCAATGTTGATACAATGATGCTGAAGGCATTATCTCTCTCCCCCCTCTCTCTCTTTCTCTGTCCTTCCTGGGTCCCTCTCTGTCAGACAAGTGCCAGTGGACAGTCACACTGCAGACGATTCATTTTCTTACCATCACAAAATGTCCTGCTAAAATGCAGCGAGCTCATTTTGACGTCAAAATAGCACGGGGGTGAAAAAAAAAGAAGCAAAGATATAGACGACATATCTGACTCCCTTAGAACAATATAAATACTGTAATATGCCTTATTTTATGCATGTTTGTTTTGTGTGGGAGAGGACGTGCGTACGTATGCTGCTTTTTGTATCAACTTCAATGCGTCAGTTCTCTTTTGCAGCTCAGAAGGCAGCACGTCAACGGTGTTGTCGGTTTTTAAAAAGGACATTTTCAGACAGTGCCCCCTACAGCTCATGCTTGTCTACTGTACGTATGTTCTAGATAAGCATGTTACTTATGAGCCTACAACTTCGATGCATTTTCCACATAGACGATACGTTTTCATGTTCGGTGTCTTATTTGGGTTCATTTACACAGGTGGGTTTTGTTTTGTTTTTTTGTTCGTTTGTTTTTTAATCGTTGGTGAACGTTTAAAAAAATTTTACTGCTGTTTGGGAGAGAAACATAACAGTTGCTACAAAACGCTCCAGAGCTGAGGTCAGAGATTTTAATTTCAAAGTTCCACACGACGGTACTACCAGATCTTAGTTTATTAATCACCTGCAGATTAAATCTTCAGCTCCGGGGTTGTGAGCCCATGTGGTTTGCATATTAACATCTTAACAGAGACAGATGTAGCCTATCAAAGCATGTTTTAATCTGTCCTTTTCATTTCAGTGCCTATGAACCTTACGTGATGATGAGCAGTCGGTCAGACATTAGCCACGACATTCTTCTCAACACGAGAAACTATGTCTATGTTTTTATTTGCTTAAGTCGATGTCGTGGCAGTGTGTTTTGTTTTTTTTCATTCAATGCTGTACAGCGCCACCAACAGTGCTTCGTTATTAACTATCTGTCAAAGCCGAAAAAAGCAACAGTCACATCCTTGAAAAGTCTAAGGATGGCTAAAAGGGTCAAGCAGCACTTCATTTTTAATAATAGCCCCAAAGAGATTTAAATCAAGCACAAAATCAATGATAACCCTGCAAAAACAACAAAAAAAAAAACGAAAAAAAAAAAACATCAGGCCAATGAAAAGTCAATTTCTATGCCCTTTTAAAGCACAAGCTCAAACTTTTCTTTGCTTCTTTATGTTTTTGCTGTGCACACTTTGTGAAAACCACTGCCAAGCTTGCAGCTCATGGGACATAATGGAGAGAGAAAAAAAAAAAAACAACTAAAACTTTCAGATCTCATTAGACATTGTGTATACCGGTAGATGTAAACATTGTCTTCATGTTGTTGGGGTGGTATAATATCTATTTTGTAATACTGACTGTAATTTCATTTCATCTTAATCTCCTTTTCTTGTATTTAGAATGTTTGACATTCTGCTGTAAATACTGTACATAAGGTCAAAATAGACAGGATTTATATAGGGACAAACGCTTAGAGCCCGCGGTCGTGTAAAATTTAACTAACGTTGACTGCAAACATGGGAACTCGTGGATGGCTAGTTAGATCAGGTTACATTTGAGTAGCTTACTTACAAAGTCCCATCTTTAAATGCTCCTACAATACTCACTGTCAAATAAAGGGGTGACGTGTCGTCTGTTCATATCATGCTATTAAAAGAAAGTGGGGGGGTAAAAAAAAAAGAAACTGTCGTTATGCAGCCATGTGAATGTACATTTCTGAGGGTGTTACAAATATGAAAAAAAAATCCTTGTTCAATTGTGATGACCCAGTGAAGTAACTTGTATTTGTTTTAAACATTAAAATGAGTTCAATAGTCAACGTTGTTCTGTCAAAGCTCACTGTCTGGATAACAACACGTCACATCATTCTAATTGTTAATGTAGCCTTGATGACATCATACTGATTCATTCTGTTTACAGAGACCTTGGTGTAAAATATGTTAATGTTTGTTCAGCTACTGAACTTTTGTTAAGGTTGAACAAAGTTCATACTGTTTAAAGCAGCGTATCAGGAAAAATAACACAATAATGTTTTACAGTTTGCACAAATCAAACTCGATGATTAAGTCTTTAAAACGTCTGTGGGGTTTCCACTCAGTGGGGAAATATCCAAATTGAAGGCATCTGGCCTGAGTAACAGCTTGATAAACCCCTCCTTCTCCACAGAATCCAGAATGGTGGTGTGCTGATGAGATGGGTAAAGAATGAAGAGTGATAGAACTGAAAAAACCTAGAGGTGGAAAGTGTGAATTTCAGCTGCATGAATGGGTTATAGGGAAAAAAAAAGCACCTTCCTGTTTTAAAAACAAGAATTCTAAAGTTGTTTTTTCAACAAAATATTTGCATAAATATTGTAATTAAGTCATATCGCATATTGTGCACTGGTATGATATACAATTAAATTATTTGTTTTTCTTAGAATGGAATAGAGTCATATGTTAAAACAGCATATCCTGAAATATATTTTTCAAAGTAGAAAATGAGGAAATCATTCAGTACAATGGATGTTGTTGATAGTATGAATATTTTCAATACTATAATTGCACACATTGTATGAAGAGGTTAGGAAGGGCAGCTGATTCATTTACAGTATTTGCAGACATTTTGCCAAATATTTCCATTTAGTTGATGGAACGGGCAGATGTTCCCAGTTCAGAGCTCACTGAAGGTGTCTAGTCAGCTCAGCTAGGCCTCAGAGTGTGGGACTCAAGTGCAGACATCTGCACCATGCACATTAAGAACAGCCAAAAGTTTGCAGCTGTTGCCATCCATTTGCTAAAAGGAGCCTCTGTAGCCCAAAGGGCTTTGATAGCACATAGGCTTTTAACATGCATGGCTGTCTAGTTTTTCTCTTCTCCTCCTCTGAGCCCTGAGAGTGGAATTCCTCAGCGTTTGCTCAACGAAAGTCTTTTAAGGATAAAATATGACTGGAGTCAGATAAAAGCTGTGTTTCCATTCCACAACGAATTTATAAAGAGAGCTTGCTGAAGCGCTTACACTGTCCACTGTGCACAAATGTCCCTGAGGATTGCATTGGATTAGAGAAATCATTCCACATATGTGTAGTAATAGGTAGTATAGGGTAAGAAAAAAACAAAATAAATAAATAAAAATTGCTGTTATAAGTAAGCTGATAATAATAATAATAATAAAATGTTGTTTAATTAATTTAATTGTGAGGGAAAACTGTCAAAAATGACAAAATATAGCATATCAGTATTGTCAAATTATAGTAAATACCTCGTCAGATGTGATCAGCTGCTTAAAACATACCGCCAATAAAACACAATGTGCCAATGTGGGTTCAGATCACTGTTTCGTGGACTTCCACATTTGCATTTGTAATTTCATATCTTCTTATTCTTGCGGTTGTCTGGGACAAAAACATGACATAATTAAAGATGACTACTTGTACTTGGAGAGCTGTTCAGAAAAACAAGGCATACGGTCATTTGGATACAAATTCCTCACCAAACCGCTGAAACAAGGGCAGAAAAAAAGACGTTTGTGTTGGAGACCGAGCTCGTGCTGGTTTTCCATTTCCATGAAACTAATCTGAAAGATCAAAATCCTGACTTTTTCCATTGTTGTCATCCAGCTCACTCCACACTAAAATAATCCCTGCATTCAAATGTTTGTATTATATTTATTTCTTGGGCTTTTTTATTCCAACGTAAACATTAGTGTTTAGAGTAGATTTGAACATGTTAATTCATGTAGACCAGCGGTGCTCCACAAGTAGGCAATCTAACAGTAGATCACAAAGGGAGTGCTGGCAGGTCATAAAAAAAAAGAAGAAGAATTATAATATAAATATAATTTTTAGTCAACAACATCTGCCGGAAGTGTATTTACCCATTACTATCTATAAAAATCTTAAAATAAAACTGATTATACAAAAAACAGAAACATCCTCAAATCCCCATTTTTCCTGTCAGAACAGGTTCATCTTCTTATTAAATTGATTAAAACCAAAACACTTTCACTCTTTCAACAGCACTCTGTGCTTCAGGTTGTTAAAAACAAACAGCTGCAATCAGTCATGAAGAAACAGTGGAGTACAGACGGTGTTTTTTTAACTTCACTTTTTAATTGCGCATAATATTTTCCCGATGATTGTTGTTCATCTTTATCTGATTAAATGAACATTTGTGGATTACTTCATTGACCAGAGAACAACAGTTACAGCTACAGTTTTAGAATAGAAATAGAATGGCTTTGTACAACCAACTCTATCACTCC